ATATGTTTTTCATTGGCGGTACTATCCTAATTTCCGGAGTCGCGGACTATGAACGCGGCCTTAGAGTCGTTGCGGCTCCGGGTACTAGTTCACTATACGTTCACCAACCTCTACCAAAGGCATTCGTAAAATAGGTTATTTGAAGGCACCTCTTGCGATAAGCTGATACCGTTGGGATTCGAAAGTAGAGCTACCAAATAGAGCATCTACGAAAACAAAGCAAAAGGTGAAACGATCAAAATCCTCAGAGACGAGAACTTCTTTACGTCCGTTGATTTCAGGAGTCAAGGAGGTTTCCGTTGACATAGAGGTCGTTTGGTTGAAGTTAAACAATGGCATCATGCTAACTGTGATCGATGAGCAGTTGCTGCTTTGATGACCGGCACAGCAGCACTGAAAAAAGAAAATCGAACGATGGAGGTATGTAAGAGTTTCATTCCAATTACATTGCCGCCATCATCTCTTCCATGTACCGGCGATGGGCTGCTCGAGAACTTGAGGGGCTCTTTTGGCACTACCGGCGTATTATCACGTCGCTGATAGCATATCTTTGGGTGTCCCCCAACAGGCCCACCGCGCGGCGAAGGAAGAGACGCAGACGCGGCAAAGGACGAGTCGCAGCGCATACTGTAGCGGTTAGGCGTCAGGTTAAATAGAGTGTACCATACTACGTCTCATATCGCACAGCACGCGCTGCGACTCGTCCTTTGCCGCATCTGCGTCTCTTCCTTCGCCGCGCGGTGGGCCTCTTGGGGGACACCCCACATCTTTCACCGCACAGCACCATCTATCGGCTGTTCGAACCTACCCCTAACATCTCCATGTACACCTTTTTTTCCACGAACATCAGTTTCATCCCAGTTTTCATTTCAGTGACGACTAATTGGCTCCACAAAACCACACTGTTTGGTGGTCAGCTCGACGATGTCCCGGATACGGCTGTCTACAATTCGCTCAAAGATTTTCATGCTGTGCGAGAGCAGGCGAATTGGACGGTAGCTAGTGCAGTCTCCATGGTCTGCCCTTCTTCCTTCCAGATACGTTTATGCCGAAAAACTTTTCTATGCTCTGGCGATAGCGGGTCTTTCCAAGTCAGGAAACGTACCGCTCACCAACCGCGCCGACGTCAGCAAAACGGACCCTTCAGTGCTGACGCTTATCATAGGCCACATCGCTCTGATCGCGTCATGTTACCCGGTGTGATAAGTGCTCTGTGGTGGCAAATATTCGAAGAATGTTAGTTTCGAGTTTTCTCAGATTCTACGAGAGTGTAGTACCGGGTTCTATTCCAGTGGGGGGGGGGGGGAATCATGATGCAGTTTCTCGGCGACCTAGTGTGAACTCGAACATTCCAGCTTTTCACGCATGTCAAGTGACTGCCCTCACCCCCACCCCCTAGACTGGCTACACTCCCCCTGGCTCGGAGTTACCCTAGCTTTCTGGAAAAACTGCATCATGATGCCCTCCTAACTGGAATAGACCCCCCCCCACCCTAGGACTGTATGATGGTGCGCAAACTAGGAAAGTATGGAAGCGGCCTTCAACCGTATATTGAAGCATCCCTTCTGGTATCTTTTGTAAACCTTGGTTTTGGTGCGAATTTGGTCAAGGTTACACGTACTGGTGACATTGGAAATTTTCATCAATTTTATAGAGGACCAGGTATTATGGTACCTCTAGGGGGGTACCACGAATGGTGGCAGATTTGGCGTCAAACGCAACGTCTGTTGTGTAGCACACCAACACGCCCACCCCCGACGTCAAAAAGATCCGAACGTCTTTTTGACACTCTTTTCCATTCGATCGTTGTTTCCTTTTCAAGTTGTTGTCGAAAACCTTTTCTTGGGGTCTATTCCAGTTAGGGGGGGGCATCATGGTGCGGTGACTCCCAAAAAGCTACGGTAACTCTGAGCCAGGGGGAGTGTAGCCAGCCTAGGGGGGTGGGGGGTGAGGGCAGTCACTTGACATGCGTGAAAAGCTGGAATGTTCGAGTTCACACTAGCTCGCCGAGAAACTGCATCATGATGCCCCCTAACTGGAATAGACCCCTTTCTCGTTATATGTGAGGTCATGAGGACGCAAGGCGTGTCTCTTCCCACAACGAAATCCTTCAAATAAAAATCGTGGGAGAGTAGGTTGCCTCGCAATTTATTCTGAGCGTAGTTTGTTAACTGTTTTTAGCGACAACAATTATGCTGGTTTTCATTTTATTGCAGGCCTTCCGCCATTCTACCACGCACTGGCGTGGTGGCGCGTCGCATTGGAATGGTTTCGATGTCTGCGCTCCTGGTTCTGACGGTGGTAGTCTTCCTGGTTCATTTTGGACAAAGCGATAAGAAAGCCACAGCGCAGTTGGTGCCACTCGAAGCCAATGCTGACACTCTCGTCTACCTCCAAGTGGTATGTGATTGCCCACTACCCATTCTTGGTTCCACAATAGTTGCTTTTAGCCGATGTTAGTAATACGAGCCTTTCGATGTACGTGAGAATTATGTATGTAAACTACACGCTGTTCTATGCCAAACATTGGCTTGATCGTTAAAATGTTCCGAAGAATCAATATTCAAATGAAATTGCCCCTCGTATTCGCTGATTCGTCTACCAAATGTCAAAAGCGAACATCCGAGTGGGCGGCTACTTAATAAGAAGTGCACTATAGCTGAAAGGTTTTGGGTAGCACCTACTTCAACAACTTTCTACTGTTGAAGCTTGACCAGGAAATATTAAGTCATCATTTCAGTTGAGAGTTGCATCAATACGCCAAAAAAAGACCCAGCTAATATCCCGGAAGCAACGAGCTCCACCATGGAGAATCGTCCCTTATTCCCGTTCTCACCTCCCTTCCGGCTGGAGTACATACAGTCCATACCTCGAAGTGATTAGGCGTGTCTGTGGATTTGACGTGGCCATCGCCGCACTTGATAGAAGCCGTGTGGATAAGCTGTTTCTAACATATTCCGCTGGATATCAGCAAAGCATGCTGGAAGCAGCTTATCCGCGCAACTTCCATCAAGTGCGGCGGCCGCACGTAAAATCCGTAGACATGCCTAATCTGGCTTCAAATATGGACTCCGTGCAATGCTGTAGGCGTCAGGTCGCGTATGTACCTAGCCGGTTTACGGACTACTTGATTTTTCCTCAATGGTCCTGCCGCGATGGCTAGAGCACAGACGATTAGAGAATGCCCTAGGACTAAGCCTTGGAGAGGAGAGGGACCCGCTAGAGAGCGCAGAGGCGGTAAAGGGCTGAGTTCAAGTAGTCCGTCAACCTACCTACCAATAGAATTATTGCATGAGCCTTAGGGTCAAGTTTTTATGGTTATGGTTGTTTTGAAACGGCGCTAAACCGGCTCCACTGAACGAGAATAGCACAGCACAATTTTTTCCGCAAATTATGTTATAGGTTAGCTAGTCACGACGAATCTATCTATCACTATTTGTTATTGGTAAACTTAAGCGAGACGTGTTCAGGCATGGCGGCACGGAGATCGCACTCCGGCTACGTCGGTACCATTCAATGACGCATCTGCATGGGAGGAAGGCCTGGGAGAGTTGACACGAAAGGGAATAGGTTGGGTTTTACACTAGTAGTCATTGTTCTAATCATCGAAGCCAGATTCAATTTTTTGTTGGTTTCCGAGTCATTACTTACTTTACATGTCTGTTTAATTGTTAACACGCATAGTTCGGAAAATTTAGCCTGAAAAGTACACATAAGAGTTATGTATAAGCATGAGTTGAAGGATTGGTTTCGGACTGGAATTCGGTTCTGAAATGATTCGGATAGTTTTTCCACCCCTTGGCTAAGTTGTCGTCTCAGTACTCTTCCTGTTTTCTCAACAGAATAAGATTCCTCCGCGTTTAATAGAGGTTTCCATTGTATTTATTAATTTCAGCCCAGCAGTATCGCCTTGGAAAGTGGTTGCGAGCTCGCTATGGCAGATGGTTTGGCAATCGTTTCGACCGCAACGAGGTTTCCTTTGTCGTTATTTTATTTCAAAATTTCACTGTCAGTTGTGATCAACCCCCTCCAGGGGCGGTATTCAATCCTTCCCCCAGGGGGATATATCCCCCTCCTCTGATTCAATCCTCTGGGGGGACAAAAAAGGGTTGCGTCATAGGACCTAGCATACCTCTGTGTTTCTACCTGCCAGACAGTTAGAGCAGCGCTACTACCCTCCACTGATGAAGCACTCTTTTCCCGCGCTCTCTAACCTGTCTCAGGTAACAACCCAGAGTTGTGCCCTAGTCCTAATGACCAACCGCTTTTTGACCCCCAGAGATGAATTAGGGGGGGATACATCACTTGCAGGGGGGAAGGCCCTTGAATACCGCCCCAGGGGTGTTGTCTAATCCTTTTGCTCCTCTGCGTCTCTTTCACAAGGCTAGACACCAGACACTATGGTACTTTTGCCACTGGTGAAGTGGCTCACACACCCCCACCTCCCTGAATTGGCCCCCTGGCTCCCGCATTCTTACTTACTACCAGGTTCCCGCTGCATCAAAAGTATTAGATGTCATACAAACCTCCTCAGGGTGCATTCATAGTCGGTCGCACGATCCGTAGGTGGTCGGACAAGCCGCGGTCGCATAGGGGAGTCGATGCGGTCACCCAGTGCTAACCCGGAAAGCACGTGATTGTGCGCGTGATGGCATTCTCGAAGTTCGGTTTGTGAGTCGTAGTGGCTGCGCATTGGTTCGTCGACAAATACTACGTTGCTGTCGCAGGACCCCCCCTCGGGTGTGGGTACTTAGGACAGAACGCGACTTTTTCGCTCTTCGCAACGCGACATCGCGCGGCAGGCTGGCGCACCCGTAGCGAAAACAACTACGGTATATAAGAACGCGCGATTGGAGCGCGATATTTGTGTCGGCTTTGATTGCGACAAGGAGTTTGAAGCTTAATAGCCATGGATTTGATAATGAACGAGGAAATGGTAACCAGAAGTGGACCGCTAACTAGCAGTGAAGAGGGAGGTAGGTTATTTTTGCAGAGATGGATGGTAGAGCTTCTGGAGAACCTGGAAGAGGAATGGTTGATGGACGTTTGATGAGACGACTGTAAACTTCTGCATAGGGGTTATTTGGGGCCCTGATCATGAATATGACACTCATTTTTCACATTCGTGCTGTTTAACGCATACTTTCTGCTTTTCTAAGCTTTCTCACCTACAGCGCCTACGACTAAGCTTAGGGAGGGGAGTGAAACTCCGGAGTGGGTAAACCACGCACCGTGTGTGGAGTGTGTCAGACCACAGGGGAATGGCCTACCCACTTTGGAGCCCTACACTACTCAAAGGCTTAGTCCTATTGCGATCTAATTAGTGCGAGGGCGCAGACGAGCAGGAAGCAGGCGCCGAATAGCGCTAACAACAAATCAGGACCCCGAATAACCCCTATACAGAAGTTTACAGCGAATTTAGTGGGAATCAGTTGTGGCGCCACCCGGCCCCAAATGGCGCCAGCGTCAAAAATGAGTATCATATCCGTAATGAGGACAGAAGCGTTCCGTAAAAGATGTTATACCCTTATGCAGATGTCTATACAACAATATGAACCCACAAAATGCAAGCACAAGCGACACTATTAAACCCTCGTTCACCGATAATTCGTAAAACACCATTTGTGTGGCATCGCCCGGAATCGTGTAAGTCACAAAACGTTTTCAATAATGAGACAGAATTAGTGATTCACCGCATTTATCAATACAATGGGTGTGAGCGCGGGCAAGTAAGGAATCAGAAACTTACAAATTCACGCATGCAAAAAAGCTGCTCCAATCGCGCGTTCTTCCATACCGTAGTTGTTTTCGCTGCGGGTGCGCCAGCCTGCCGCGCGATGTCGCGTTGCGAATGAGCGAAAAAGTCGCGTTCTGTCCTAAGTACCCACACCCGACTAATGCGGCGCCCTGAAGATCGCACAGCATCAGGTGCGTATCGAGCGTCCACTCCACGGACTTCCGACGATTGATACGCATCCAGTTCTGTGCGATCGCTACGATCGGACCGACTGCGACTGCACCCTCACATTGTTGTTATACCTGTCAGTATGGAAGTACATTTTTCCGAGATATCCCTTTCTAAGCATTTTTTTTACGTATTTCTTTCTTAGTGAGTGACTTATGAGTACCTACTTTTTCCAACGAAAATTTTATGCGAATGATATGGTTGTCGTCATCAACTAGAAATGGCGGAGGAGGCCAGCAAGTCATCCCGGTGGTTTGCACCGAGGTCAAAGGTCTAGAAATGTCATTATTTCGATGCTCACCTGAAAATGCGTGTTTTAAAGGACGAATTCACGATTAGAATGAAGGTCGAAGAAGGAGTAATTCACCTAGTTGAGGGACCCGCGGACCTCCTAAGGGTGCGGACTGAAGCGCAATTGGCACCGAAGGAGTTGACCTCGGCGACCTATTAAGGCTCAATCTTGGCGCGTGGGCCAGTGCACGCCCACCGATCATCTCACTCGCCGCAGGTCTATACGTGGTGGTTATGATAGGTGAGAGTGCTGGTGTTGACAAGAGAGCACAGCCCGATATAGTCGCAGCATAATGCTCAAAATCGACTGTTCTTCTTCATGTATTCACCATCTGGCTATGTAATTGAGAATGGTTTGCCTTTCACTTGAATCCGTCCCTTTAACAAGGGCTTGCCAGCATCTTTCTGTTGGATATAATCAGATAGCGTGTGCAAAAATATCCATAATAACATTGTTCAGACATTCGTTTGATAGGTATAGAAAACAGTTCTAAGCTCGATCGCTGTGGGAAAATGCAAATGTGTACATATCATCCCGATTGGCAGTGCTGACCTGTTGATCTTTACTTATGAGCTCACTTCAATTTCAGTTTCTCCATTATTTCGTTCCAGGTTTTCGTGCGCAGCAGTGATTATAACCGAACCATAATGTCTGCGCAGGCAAATATGGCCGGTAAGAAAATACCATGGGTCGCTGACTACTCAGCTCTCAGCTACATTTTATATAATGTATTTTTTAGATTTTCTAGGGCTATTTCCGCCTCTCAAAATGCGGATATGTGGAAGACAATTTGCCGTTCAGCCAGTCCCTGTCCATTCTGTTCCGAGGGCTATCGACAAGGTACGATATTATCGTGAGATTTTTTTGCTATTGCGTTTGTTTTTACATGCGTACAACATTACAGGAACTCTATGAAGATATCAGTTGCCCAACCGCGAACGAAGAGTTCTCGACGTTATGGCGTTCCGAAGTGGTGAAGCGTATGAGATTGAGAACGAGGATTTCATTGAGTTTCTCAAAGAAAAGACGAGAATTCCTAATTTTGAGTTTCGCAAGCTCTGGATGGTATTCGATAATCTTTTTGTATATGATACTTGAACCATCGAAGTCATTGGCATGGTAGTAATTATAAGATCAAAGTATTTAAATTGAAGGTACGTAATGTTCTTCATTGTGAAGCAAGAAGCAGCTTGAAGTTTAGTTAACTGATTTTGGGACCTTCCGCCAGGGCCCCGAGGAACGTCGCCACTGGAACGTGCACGGGATTGCCTCCTGGGTTATTGCACGAGAATGACGCGACTGAAAGAATTATCCACTGCGCGACATCATAGGAGCTCGCGTCTTGCAACAGCAACCTTCTCGAATTACGCTGCGGTATCCGTGTTGTGCAACTGACCCCACACTGTCCCTTCAAACTTCACATGTATAACCAATCCTAGTTACTGTGGTACCTGCAGTTTCATTTTCATTCATTCTTGCATGTGAAATCCCCCAATTTCTCCGCTCAAAGGCCAAAAATTGTCTCGTAGTCTGTCTCGTAAGACTTTGCGACCATTCGCTAGCGAATCGCGCGATTTGCTTACATGTGTGTATTTTTTCTGCCGCCAGTCCAGTATTTTCCCTCTCTCTCGGATTCCACCAGTCCTCTAGCAGCCGCTAGGACAACTGTGTATGCTTCTGCCGCACCTGTATATAATCAGCTTGGGAGAAGAGGTAAGTGTAAATGCATAAATCAGGTTCTTGTATCGGGAGATGGCCTTTACACATCCACGATATACTATGTTAGAATGAACCTCAGCACTGATCGAACAGTTTGACGTCTGTAATGGTTGATTCTGGCTCCCCAATCCCTACTCCCTCGCTTTTCCCTCTATTCTACTCCAGCTGCGACGACAACACAATGAGGAATGGCGGAAGTTATGCGAGTGGGTGTTTATATAGCAGGAGTGTTCACAATCATGCTCACGAACGCGGTACTGAAATACCTGCTCCGCTCCCATGGGAACGTTTTGCTTCATGCCCATTATTTCTTACCATTTTGTGGACGTGCAGACCACCGAACGACATACATATTGATAAACCGGCCCACCAAGATAGTGGCACAGTAAGTGTTGTCTCCGTTCAAAGGAGTCTCAAGAAGTATGCTGCCAAAATGACGGAGATTAAAGCACTTCCTCGATTATCTTCCTTTGGAATACAACATGCATCTTACTTTCTTTCAAAGTCCTTGTGTCATTTGAATGCAAATTTGGCTCATGCAGCACTTGCAGGGGCCAGCCAATGTACAGGTCAGATTTTCATGTAAATCTTTTGCCCTCTGACTTATCATGAGGATGGATGGTTGCTGCCGGTGAGGCTCGATCCCGGATTCGATTTCGGAAGGTCTTGACACGCGCAACACAGTAGGTGCAGATCTCGCCTCTGCACCTCCTGTGTTGTTCACAGTGTTACTTACCTCTGCCCTTGTTGCTTATAAAGTGCCTACTAGGTTTTATGTAGGATGCTTTATATTTTCTACCTATTGAGCTTTCTCACCCAGCTATTTTGTGCAGGTCACGTTTTGGTTGAATGTGTTGAAGGACTGCCGATTGTGGCATCTTGCTTCCGTTTTTCATCCTGTGTGGAAGTTTTTTTTTCTCCAGTACGGTCAAACATTGAGTTAGTCAGTTATCAGGAATAATGTTAAAGCGGTACCTGATTCTTTTGCAGCTCCAACATAGCGACACCCAGAAGTGGCCCTCATGGGTAAATGCATCAGTGTTCGATCGGATTCAGAAGCTTTACGATGCCTCTTCTCGCATGAAGTACCACACAGATGTGCTACGTCGGTTACGAGGAGGTAACATTATACGCACGTTAGATTGTCTTAATATTAGGTCGGTCCATAATTTTTGAGAACCTTTGGTGTTTTTCGATTCAATTACTTATCTTATTTCTCTGATGTACTTATTCAGCATAGTATACATCACCATTATTACCAACATATAACCAATGCGAGGGTGGGTATTCAGTGTCTCTCTTGTAGAATTTCATAGAGTTCTGATCGAAGAAATATTGGATGTCGATTTTGACTTTATGGTGATTCAAGTGAGATTTCTTCTCCAGAAGGTGATTGAGAGAGGAGAGCGGATAGTCGTTCGTTGACGCAGGATTAGTGCTACAAGGCGGAGCTAAAAGAACTGACCGCCCGAGAGTCTCCAATTTTTTAGGAATTTTCTTAGCAAGGCGGGCTCGAACGACCTCAGAAAAAAAATAGATTTTGTCTTCCTTTGCTTTCAAGTTGAAGGCGTTGCCATCAAGCTGTCAACGATTCTTCCCATCACTGACACTGGTATTAGTTGATGCCGGTCTTCAGCGCAAAGGCCCTCCCGTATTGCGCCAACGACTCAGGAAGTTCGAATTCAGAGGGAGTTGGGTTTGTACTGTCAGAACTCCCGAATCGTTTGAGCAAATCTACTGCGGCTCGTGGATTTGTTAGCACATTGCACCCAGTCCACATCACCAATGAGTATTATAGATGGTCATCCGAAGGAACTATAGGAAACCAACAGGAACTTGATGATGTCAGATTGGGTTGAGAACTGATTCGGGACTACAATTTTCCTTCGATCAGAACTCTATGAAAGTCCACAAGAGGCACTGAATACCCACCCTCGCATTGGCGATATGTTGTTAATAATAATGATGTATACTATGCTGGATAAGTAGATCAGAGAAATAAGATAAGTAATAAATCGAAAAACACCAAAGGTTCTCAAAAATTGTGGACCGACTAATACATACCAGTTCATGTGTCACACATACCTCTTCACCACGGCTTCGATTTCCTCGTCCTGCCGCTTTTGGGCTGTACTTGTTTATTTTAAAGGAGATGCGTCTTCTACTGCTGATAAGCAACTCATGCCAAAAGGGTGATAACTCAATGCACTTTTGTCCCGAATTTTTGCGGGTATCCTCAGACCAAGAATAAGTCTCCTATTTAGGTCTAACAGATCTTGCTCTTACAAAATGGCATTTGTCTCCACGTTCAATGACTGTAATGACACGGTCAGTTCGAGCGGGCCTATTGTATCTCCAATACTAAGGATAAAGATAAGAGTTCTCAGGACACGTCCATTCGAAACTACTTCTGATAAGTATCGGTATAGTGTGGAATTACAGGCCGATTCTTGTGCTGTGGCCCAAGGAAATGGTCCCGAACTAGGATATGGACATCCCTTGCTAGGCGCAACAGTGTGGTAGCGCAGGGTGACAATCACCAATAATCAATCAATCAATCAATTAAATTGCCTTGTGGCAGGATGTGCGTGATGTAGGGCATACATCGCCCCTTATCAAAAGTGCACTTGAAATAAGACGCTCGCCTATTATTTTATCCAAAGGGTTGAAGTCCAAATGAGTGCTCTCTAGTACTGCGGATAAGATAACAGGGAGTGCTCCCTCAATCCTCACCCGAACTGTAGTTTCACCAACACATTGTACTACATTCAAACCAAATGCTTCCAACTTTGAATTGAAGAGCACATCCCATTTCATAAAACAACTTCATAGCGCCCTTCTTCATGCACGGCCTATGAAAAATTTGCGCCGAAAAATGGCATGATGGAGCTCAATAAGGTCTCTCGGACGGATCTGAGCGTTTTTGATAATCGTGCTTGGGGGGGGTTAAAACAGAATGCACAGGTTATGGCATCTTAGAACTACACGCAGCAATGAATGGTTCAAGAATCGTGGAAAAAGTCGAATGCAGAACCGTTAACGGTAGGTCCTTCTGGGCTCGACGAGACGGTAGAACGACGTTTTCTGAAATCGCTTCGTCTACTGAAGCAGAAAGGACATTGAGAATGTTTCGATGCTAAAATCCGCCTACAACGAACAACTCTCTGCCACTGAGAAAAAAAAAAAACTCCGAAAGTGGACATTCAAAATTCTTATGTCCTCACATCCGTACACAATGGTGTCCAAAAAAAGACCTTTGCTATGCACACTGATCCTAACTTTCGCGCACAGAGTGCCGATGTTAGTGAAACTCCTACGGCGTAATACTCCATAGGTGTTCCCCGTATGCAGAAGCAGCCCCTCCTTCGCTGCCACCCACCCCCCAGTAATATCCAGAATATGACGTCATTTACCACTACCGTCGAGCTCAACGACACTTACCGTAATCGCTCCGGCTTGAAGCTACTTCACGATTCTCTTCAATGGATTGACGATTAAATAGCTTTTCGAGACATTAGCTGTGACTATGCAAAACCACTTTTGACCATCGTTTCAGGGACGTCGTAATGGTCTATGGTACCTCGACGACCCCGTTGAGCTCGTATGCGAACTATATTTCAGTGGGAAAATCTTCTGATTCGTCGGTGTAGAAGCAGAGTCAACCCTGCGTTGCGCAGTTCTCAACGGCCACGTTGCGCAGTTTCGCCCGATTAGACACGTTCTCTCGCGCGAACATTCACACTCGCATGCTCGAGCCGTCTGCGTCTCCGCCCATACAGCGTGCGTTGAGGATCTCTCAACGTGCCGTTGCGAACTGCGCAACGCAGGGTTGACTCTTGTACAAGGCTGTCGTATAAGGTTAGCTAGATAAACTAGAAGGTGCTCTTCAATAATGTGTTGGGGGCAGTCGATTTAATTCTAGCAAAGTGTGATTAATGCTGTTTGAAATAGGGAGTCAAGTGTCTCTTTTTTTGGCCACCCCTGTATACATTGCATATACAGGGTGGTCCAAAATTAATGAGGACCGCGTGCGCGCGCAGTCATATCCACTTTTTTCCGTATCGCTCCATTTTCATCTCGTTTCTGTGCACTATGTGAAAGGGTACAATGTCTTCTTCCTAATGAAACCAAATTTCATGAAGTTCTCAAAACTAGTGAAATAACTACTTCACTTTGAGTCAGTCCTCAAATTGAACTCACTAGGGGCTCTGGCACGTTACATCTAGCAGCAGTCTAACCTATCAGAGAAGCCCTTATGAGCAACAGTTCAACTCTTCAATAAGTTTGGAATCACCACAGATGGAAAATTCGGGGACTCGAAAGTTACAGTTACCACCAGGATAATTATCAGATGCAGAAACTAGGTCTCCCCTTGTCGACTTTCGTACACCCAAAATGAAAAAATTGATGTGAAAACCCAGCCAGACACTCTAAAGACTCCACATCTGTAGTGGATAGAAAGCCACACGAGTAGTCTACTTAGAACTTCTTACAGGACCGAGCACCCAAGAATAAAGCAAAAATCCTCCAAAAAGCGATTTTTCGAGTTCGTTGCTTTCGAAGAATTGTTACAATGGAACCATCCACCTAATAGCTCTAGATTTCTGTATTTCACACCCTGGATGCAAGCGCAAATAAATGCAACACAAAAGTTTGATTCCCTGAAGAAGGCAGAGCAGAAAAGGTCTGGAAACATTTGGACACGCCTTAGTTGCGTGCCACCGCACGCGCCATCCCCCTCATCCGAAGGCTCGTGTTAACGGGGGGTGGCAGATCTCAATTCTATTCTGGAATTACTTTGAGGTAAGAGTTACAAATACTTCCCAGAAGTTGGTTTGTTCCATCAAGCTACTATGCGTTTTTAACGACACAATGTCTTGGTCCTCATAATTTTGGACCACCCTGTATAGTGATCCAATACATTTCTCAAAGTATTCCTTCCATCCCCGCTGCTTGAATCTCATGGTATCGCTACCTAGTTCGAAAGAGCACATCTGAGAGTGAAAGGGACTACTCTTTGGCCACATTATTTTGATTGATAATTGAATTTTCTTGACTGATGATTAACCAAGGTTCGTGATTGTGCACGTGAATGCTCTAAGGAGCTGAATCGAGGCTCACACGGTCAAGGCACGCTTCATTAAACGAAGCACTACCCACTGTTTCCAAAAAACTAAAAGCGCGTTGAGTGCAGACCACACATCCAAGTAACGACGGCCTCCGCAAAATGTAAGTCTCTGCTAATGAAATGATCAGCCTATTGCAGTCATATTCCTATCAATTTTCACTGATTGCAGCTCTTATTTATCAACTATCAGCTGTCACTATGAATCACTAAGTTCTAGATATACTTGGACTTGGAGGCCATCATCTTTTGTCCTGTGTGGCTTGCTCTCGACGCG